CGACTTTACGTACTTAGTACTCAAGGTGAGCCGGTACCGTTGGGAGCCGAAGGAGAGTTGTATATTGGCGGCGCTGGTGTAGCTCGCGGTTACTTCAATCGACCTGATCTCACCGCGGAACGCTTCTTGTCCGATCCATTCGGTACGAATCCATCGGCTCGTATGTATCGCACAGGTGATTTGGCACGTTATCTGCCTGATGGAAATCTTGTTCATTTGGGACGCTGTGATCAACAGGTAAAAATCCGTGGATTCCGAATCGAACCCGGTGAAATTGAAGCTCGCTTAACGGAACACCATCTAGTACGCGAGGCATTTGTACAGTCATGGAATAGCAGACCTGATACTGATGTTCGTCTAGTTGCATATGTGGTGGCCGATCCAGATCCATATCTTGCTCAGGATCTACGTTCCCATCTATCATCTTTACTGCCTGATTATATGGTGCCGGCAGCGTATGTATGTCTGTCATCCTTGCCACTCACACCAAATGGAAAGTTAGATCGACGTGCATTACCTACTCCAGACGATGCGTCATTTGCCCGTCAGTCGTATGAAGAACCACGAGGCGAAATGGAGCAAAAACTTGCCACAATCTGGAGTGAACTGTTGGGTATCGAACGCATCAGCCGGAATGACAATTTCTTTGAGCTGGGAGGCCACTCGCTGCTAGTTATGCAATTTGCGAATCTTATGAAGAAGCATTATGATATTCGCGTCAGTGCTCGGGCGTTATTTACCTTTCCAATATTCAAAGACTTAGCGGAAAAAATGACCAATTCTTCCGAAAATCTGTGTTCAGATGTTGCTATACCAGCTCGTCGCTATGGCGATCGACCACCTATATTTCTTGTTCCTAGTGGCGATGGAGATATTTCTTATGCTTTTGAACTAACACACGAGATTGATAAAGGTGTTCCTATTTATGTGTTACCGTGGTCATCACCAGAAAAAGAGCAGCCATCATCCCTTGAAAAAATGGCCAATACAATGATTGCGCTAATAAAGAAAGTACAGCCAAATGGCCCTTGCGCTGTGGCTGGTTACTCCTCTGGAGGTATTCTGGCCTATGAAATAGCAAATCAACTTGTCAACAATGGCTATTCTGTTTCGTTTACGGGTTTAATTGATACGTTTCCTCCCTGCGCATCTAGTTCATATAATGAGACCGAGCTATTTTTGACATTTATCACAATGAAATCTCCATTTTTCAAATCGTTAAATGATACAGAGTGGTGGGAGCGTGTCTTTAAATTGTCTCTGGATGAAGCTATCGAAGAGGTTAAACAAAAGAATGTTGATTTGAAAAATGAAGATATCGATTGGGAAGTATTGTTATTGAAACAACGAATTCACTATAAAATGATATGCAATGTATACAATATAAATCCAATATCAACTACAGTCAACCTATTTAAGGCAACGGAATTAGGCAGGTCACTTATTGGTAATGAGTACTTGGATAAAAATGTTCAAAGCTGTAATGATGTTTTCATGGAATTTTTTAATCGTCCAAAAAATGGATGGGAAATCTACAATCTTCCAAGTTTGCACGTCATTCCTGTAAATGGTACTCATTCGACAATGATGACAGATCCGAGAAATCGAGGTTTATTGGGAAAATTGGTAACTTAGTCACTTGTGACATCTGTATAAACTGAAACTACCACAAGAGGAACATCTATAAAATGTAATTGTAATTCTAGAAAGTTCGCAGATAATGAAATTGTGAAAATTACAAATGAAAATGTTTGAGAAATAAATAAATAAATAATATGCAAGGCAATTTGTGTTCGGCTTAAATATATTTTCATTTATTGAGATTTTGTGTTTGTTCTAAAATATGAACTCATCAATTTTGGGAAAATATATATACAAAAAATCATTAATTTTGTGGCCAAACAATGGATTCAATCCAATTTGTATAATGTGCTACTCGCGTATAAATGCTTGGTAAATTCAAAGCACAACCATGACTAAAACTAACGATACCAACTATTGTGGCTTTGTTTGGATCATTATCGGGAATAAGTAGAAGTGGACCTCCGCTATCTCCTTGACAACTATCCTTTGTTCCAGCTGGATCATGTACGCAATACTGACTGAGATCAAGGCCATCTCGAATTTCCCGTAGATTTTTCAGAGCATCATGATTCATATAGGTAGTATTGCATTCACCTAACGACATTGTATAAATCTCAATTTTCCGTAATTCGTTTGATAAACTCACGACTAATAAGGTTCGAAAGGGGATGAAAATAAGATAAATGACTTAAAAAAACGGTGTCATTTTCCTGAATATTTTGAAATAACAAAAAAATTCAACTCACTATTTGGATCAGGGTCAGTGTCACCCCAGCCAGTTACAGTTAGTTTCATATGAGTATCCAAATCACCTATGTCTGTATGCAAGCATGCCGGTCTAATTGTGTTTGTGAAATAAATCTTTGTTGTGAGCCGTATCAATGCTATATCGTTCTTTTTCGTTAGACCCGAATAATTTGGATGCCGTGTAATATTCTGAAGAGAAAATAAACATTTTAAGAAAATATAATTAATTAAGAGGTACATTTCAAAGATGTATCACCGAAATAAAATAATCTGAATCAGATGTTTCGCTTAGACTCGCCTGTCTAAAAAAATGTTAATCACTTTATTATATAATTACTTTTTACTGCTATTTAAAATTACCATTTTCAGCAGCAGTGAACAACTGATGATTTAAATTGAATCGTGCACGGACTTCAAGCCACAGAAATAATAAGCAAACAAAAGTTTCGCTTTCATTATCGAAACGATTTATTAATTTATGACGCGATGTGTAAAAGCGCAATAAAATTGTAAATGTTTGTTCGAGTATCACTTGCGTTGTATATTGACAATGTATTTGAACGCGACTCGATTTATGAAGCGCCATCTCTGTCACGCCAGGTTCTCATATATTTTTTTCTTGCAAATAAAATTGCAAAATTGTATAAATTGAATAAGTTTTGCAATAATAATAACGAAAATAATTAATAGAATTTATAATAATTAAAAAATATTGAAAAAAACACACAAATATTTTATATTATATGATATGTAGCTTTGCCTTGTAGACCATGTAGAGATGGTTACGTGGAGAAAATATGTATTTGTCAAACATTGATATCTGTCAAAAGAAATAACGTAAACAACACGAAGTGAAGCTATTCTGGTGAATCATATAATATAAAATATTTGTGTGTTTTTTCAATTTTTTATATTTATTATAAATTCTATTAATTATTTTCGTTAATATTATTGCAAAACTTATTCAATTTATACAATTTTGCAAGAAAAATATATTTGCAAGAAAAAAATATATGAGAAGCTGGCGTGAAAGAGATGGCGCTTCTTAAATCGAGTCGCGTTGAAAGCCGACTGTAAGTGATACTCGTGTTTGTTTTTGGAAAGGATTCTTAAAATTCTTGTTTAAAATAAATCGGACACTTTTCTGAATTTAATAATTAATTGAATAAATTTCTTTAGGAACGAAAATGCTATCGATATCACTGAATTTCACATAAAAATTGGCTTGAATTTTAAATAGGTTAAAAGTGAATGTGAATTCAAAATTTGTGAATGAG